TATTAAAGATAATATTATAACTTAGTCATAATTCTCTAATTGATTATCATAATTGATTACAATTTTTTGATTAACTATTACAAGTTATAATTAATTAAAATAATATTTTTATATGATATAAAATTATATTAATCTCTAAATTAATAGTAATATAATCCAAATTATAAAATTATATATTATAGTATAAAAATTAAATATAAAAATCAATTTATATTATAATTTAAAAATCTGAAAAATTCTTTTTTATATAATTTATCTGAAAAATATATTAATCTGAAATTTTTGTAATTTTATTTAATTATATTATATAATTATTTAATTTAGTATATTTATTCTCTATTATATTTATTTATAGAATATTATTTATTATAAATATTCTTTTTATTTAATATATTAGTAAAATTTACTTTAATTATTTATTCAAAACTTTTTTGAAATATTATTAACTTACAAATTAAGAGCTAAAATTATCTTAAAAGATATTATTCTAGAAATAATTATTATAATATTATTTAGTAAAAATATTAATTATAATATATTTTGAATAAAACAAGAAATAATAAATATTATTATAGTTATAAACTTAATAAAAGAGAATTATTTTTTTATAATAAGCTTTTATATATAATGATTAAGAATATATTATCTTGATACTAAAAAATTACTGATAGAGTCAATAAATTATTTTAGAATAATCTATTCTTAGTTTAAGAAAGTTATCATTAATAAAACTTGAAAGAATAATAAATAATAACTTTAAAAAACTACTTAGTCTTGTAAAACTTTGATATTTAACTTTAAATTTTATGAAATAAAATATTAATAAAAAGAATTCTTTATAATATAAATTTTTAATAGAATATTAATTAGTTATTTATTATTAGTTACTTTATATTATATATAATTAAATTGTAATAAATTTAATTTTCTCTCACAGATTATTATTGCATTATATACTGTATCATATGTAATACTACACCACAAAAATCACCTCATAAAGTCACATGACATACTTGAGCTATTTTAGTTATAGATAGTTTTCTTAGTAAAATTTTTCTTTTTTCTTGTTTTACTAATTTAGCTAGCATATTACTATATTTATATATTTCATTTATAATTATTTATTTCTTTATTTATTTATTAATAAGTATCTTCTGGAGATACTATATAAGTATTATTTATTATTAATTTCTATTTATTATATTATTAATTTTATGTAATATTAAATTATTATTTAAAGATAGTATTTTTATTTTGTATTTTAATAATAATAAAATTAATAAAGAATAAGTTTTAAAATATAATAATCTTGTCTGTCTTGAATTAGTTTTTTGTATGAATTCTATTTTAATTACTTTTCTATATATCTTGAATCTTCTATGTGAATATTTTTGATATATTATACTATGTAACTAGAGTATTACAAATATATATAAATAAATTATAATTACTCTAATAAATTGAATTTTTTACAAATTTATTAATATTAAATATCTTTTAAAAGTATTAAATTATTATATAAATTATCAGAATTTATTAATAGATAAATGTAAGAATAATAATTTTTGATTTTTATATAAGTATATTATATATATTTAAAAAATAATATTTATTTAATATAATCTATTATATTTTTACAAAATAAAATTTATATATATTATTTTAAACTAATAATTTATATTAAACTTATTCAAAATAAATTTTAAAATTATATTTCTGCATATTAATCACATAATTTTATCTAAATACATATGATTTAAATATATAAAAAAGTTACTGATAAATAATATGTATTTAGATAGTATTAATTGTAATTTATTATATAATTATTATAATTAATATAATAACTAATTTTTTCAACTTAATTAATATTTAATATCATATTGATACTTTTCAAAACCTGTTTTTTTCTTAAATTTCTATTCAGATTCTTGCAATATTTGTTTGAATATATATTAATTATAGTTGAGATGTCAAAAATCCAAACAAATTTTGATCTCTTTGCTCATTATCAAATGCAAGAAATAACGGATCCTATGGTGATTCAGTTGTTAAGTCTTCTAGTCAATTAGTAAATAACTACCTGAACTAATAATCTGATTATCGAACAAGCAAACATGTAATTGTATAATTCAAAGCACCTTAAAAGAAGAATTCTTTTAATAATAATAGATTAGAATTATATGATAATAAATTGAATCACATTATATTTCATCTGTATATAAAGTCAAGTTCTTGATCTTTGAACAAGAACAAGGGAGAACATAAATATAATTTAAGAAAAGAAAAATACTTACAATTCCCTTTTTTTGTGAACATACTGTCTTCACATCCTCCAAAGCTTGCGTACAAGTGGCTTTATTTCTTTCGTGTCTAACAGTGAAAGAACTACTCTAAATAAACCATATCGAGTTTGCTATTTCTTTGTTAAGTCCAACTATTGAAATTAATTCATTTTGTACCTTATTTTGTTAACCGCATCAATAAGCCAAACCTCGTTTGATCTTATTAATTGTTATTTGTAAAAAATATATCATTGTTAATTCACTTCCCCACTATTCCTTCTATTACTTTGGATAGTAGTTTTCGTAAAAATTACCACAGGACCTTTAGAGAATCTCTCTACCCGTAAATTATTCAATCTATACCTTTTAGTGTTGCGCTTGATCTTTTCTAGATTCAACATCTTTAGAAGGTGGTGTAACATTACCATAATATAATGGTATGCGTTTATTTTTGTAATTTTAGTGGTAGGCATTACATGAATCTTGAATGAATTGAATTGGATCTCAATTTCGTTCACCTGTATAAAAAAATTGTAAATACATATTTTAAAATAAATAAGGTAAATACATGAATATGTAATAATGAAATGTTACCATCGTTATTGTAACCATTTGCAATCATTCTAAGCATGCAACTAGGCAACACAACAGCCAACCGACAACCAGACAAATGCAACCGGTCTTAGCAACAATTACCTGTATGTTTCGATAGTGATGTCGATGACGATTTTCGTAACATTATGTATTTAAGTAGCCGAATTATGTACGTATAGAGAATCGGCACCTGAAATTCTCAAAAAAAATAGCTGTCGAAATGTCGCTAAAATAAATAAGTCAAACCCTATCGATTTGTCATAAACCAATGCGAAAAAGACAAAAAAAAGACAAAATCCAGCTTGGCGCACTAATAAAAATATTGGTGAGACATTTTTGCATATAACCCGACCTCCAATCATAAAAATGAATCTAATACTAAACATCAACAGTTAAAAACGGCCTTCAATATTAAAAATAGAACAGAATTTTTTCGCGATAGGAGGGCAGTTATCCACTGGATCAGGGATCGTTTTCATGACTGAAGTGTATCTCTGGACAAAAGTAACGCGCAAAGTGACAGGCAATATAACAGGTATCATTCCAAGATTTATTAATTTTGGCAGGTCGAGTGTGGGGACAATGATATATTACATTGCACAAATGTCACATAATTCACAAAATTTTGTGGTGAACACATGATTCATGTACATGTATATATATCATTACAAAATTACACAAAATTTGATTTATGCATATAATTTCACATAATTTATTATTGTACATTTATGAAAAAGAAGTTAATTCAATATAATTTATATATTCAAAAATTGGATCTCAAAGAACCAGTTCAAGAACAGCTTATTTACGAATTAAAGATCTTTCAAATAGAATGGAAACAACAGATTCAATTATCACAAAAATTTTCGAGATAGTTGAGATTTTCATGGAATATATATATGTAATAATGAATCGAGACAACTTTACCATAACAAGGCATTAATGAATCGAAAAGAGATTATTTATATAAAAAGAGAAACGGGCACATAGTATCAAAATTCCGAAAATTTATCAAAATATCACACAAGAAATCACAGTCCCTCTAAATCCACAAAATGTTAGTTACATAAAAGAAACTAATTAATACATGTAAAAGATGTGCAAGTTAACTGAACTTTCTCATCGATTGTTGTGCAACAGCTTTAAACCCTAATGATGCGTGATTTTGTTTTACAAAAATAGATGATAAATGACATGCATTATCAAGAGAAATCTATTGAAAAATAAATTTTGTTAATTTTTAATTATAAAAAAACCGGTTTATTTGAACAAAATACGTCTAGAAACATTCGATTTATCTGGTTTAGACAATAGAATGGCCCTATTTTTGTTCAAAGTGTGACTGTTGGATGTCGAGACACTGCAGGCAGAAATGCAGTAAACTGAACACTACACACCATATTTGTATTAGAAACTCTAAATGAGACTTGAAAAGGCTATAAAAAAAAAGTAAAGCCTGTTGATCGCCATCAGTAACGGTATCAAAAGTCATATGTGTACTGTAAGTTTTATTCGTTTTTGATACATCTACCTTTATTCTCCCAGGAATAAACACGTCCTGAGAATAAGCACCTCCCCTTCCGGTTAGATAAAAATAAGCACGAAAATTCGTGATATGAACAAAGCAATAATTTTTCTTAGAGCCAAGAGGGGGGGGGGGGGAGGGGATGATTTTGTTTGAGCTCAAGAATAAGCATCACCTTCATTTTGCTATACTGATTGAGCAATGTTTAATCCGGTAGATATTCGAAATAAGCACTCTCACTTTGAAGTCCAGTCAAGTGGTGGTGTGCTTATTTCCGAAGAATACGGTATTTACGTATATTGTTTCACAACACTCTTAAGGAATTTGTTTTCCGGTTACTAATAAACAAAGGTGATGACAAAAATTTCATTCATCAACCGCAGTATTGATCCATTTGGTTATAAATATATGCCAGGCAGCGATTGTGATTAAGATTTTCATAAATTTCACACCTTATTTTTTAAGTTCCATTTTGCCTAAAGTATGTAAGTAAGGTTCCTACAAATGAAAATACAATTTGAATAAGTAAACACATGCACATGTAATTGCTAATAATAAATTAATCAATTGGAAATAACAGATTGATATTTTGAACAATGTCGCAAAATCATCCATTTCTAGGCAGTGTCTCCTACAAAAATGAAAAACCAAATACTATCAACATCAACAAGAATCTTAGAGTTAAAATTGAAAAGATGAATCAAGATATTGCCAAAATGTATTTTGCAAATAATCATGATGTCCCAATTCCCATTCCGAATGGTTTTGTTTGTATGTGTACGACAAATGATGAAGAAATAATTCCGTCTGCCGATAGTTATCTTATCACTTGGTCTTCCAGCTATGCATTGTTCTTAAACGGTGAAGAAGTTTTTAAATTAGTGCATAAACAACAGTCGATTGTTAAGGGGGAATACTTATTAAAATAATTTTTACTTTCATTAGTTAATGTGTTATATTATTTTATGTAACGAATAAATAATAATTCTATATACGCACGCGCGTTATGATTACATGTATTATTATTTTTGATCAATATAACAAATACGAAATTAAAAGGCAATTTTACAACAGATCAAAAATTTGAGCATTCTTATTGGTCATTGACAGAAATTTGCGCACGTCCATTTTGATGTTAATACCCCAGCCATGGCGAAAATATGCCCGTACACGTGATTTTTAAAGGGTTAAATCGCAAGATAATAAATATAATAACATTTCAATTTACGATTAGAATAATTTCAACTTTTGATTATATATCGTTATATTAATCGTTATTTTAATGGACAGTAACTTGATTTTATTATGCTTTTTTATTTGAAATTCTTAATATTCTTATATTAATCCACTCTCTAATGGGTATTAAGAATAATATGATAAAAAGATACTCTCTGATACTGAAAAAATTTGCAGAATCTCTGATAAACAGCATATTACCTTCAGAGTTTAAATCATTCCTGTGGATTAAAATAATTGCACATAAAAATATTGAAAGTCATATTGTTCCTGTAAAAATAAAACATCCAGCCAGAATTCAGTTTCTTTGTTTTTTAACTATCTCAAGATCCAACAATTAAAATAAAAGAGAATTATTTCAAATCAAATAATAGTATTTCAAGTTACAGACTATTTATTTAGAAATATTAGTTCTCAAAGTTAAATATCTATTTTTTGAGATAAACTAACATTTTCTGGAATATTTTCTGATCTAATAAATCAAATTTGGTAAAAATATTAGCATTTAATTCATTTTTTTTATTAATATAAGTTTTGTTTTAAAAAACTAAAATGTTTGAAATATTTCTTGATTTAATAATTCAAATTTAACATTGAATTAGAATTATTGAATCAGAAGATATTTCAGAAATTGTTGGTTTTATCTCAAAAATTAATGTTCGACTTTGAGAATTAATATTTCTAAATAGAAGCAAGAACTTATTTAACTCGAAAAAATCTCAGATCATTTTGATTGCTGACACTTGTAATATTAAAAAAGTAAAAAATCTGAATAAAATTCAAGCAAACTTCCATTTTTTGTTAATAAAACCTATTTTTCAAGATTTAAAAACTAGATGTTTTATAAAAATTATTTTTTTACAGAAACTAATTTATTTTGTCTTGTTTGAAATTATTTTTTTGAATTACAAAGTGAATTAAATATTATAATATCAAAAAAAGAATATATATTTCGAGTTGGTTTATTAATCTCTCCACTTTAGCAAAATTAGTATATCACTAGAATAAATAACTATATTAGTGATATTACTTTTGCTACTTGTGAGAAATATATTATGCAGTACAGTAGTTACTTTTGGTTGCTATTGTAAATAAATATATAATTATTACTTAAAAAGAGTTTTGTCAAAAAGCTTTATTAAACTTTTATATAATATTAAAAATGTTGAAAATTCTAATATTAAAGCCAGCTTGTACATAATTAATAAAATTAATAATCTAAATAATCAAAGTTTCTTGTTTAAATAAAGTTTTTGAATAGTTTTTCTATGAATATTATATATAATTTTTTTTGAAAATATTGTTCTGATAATATGCTTAAACCAGATAATAAATTTAATATAGTTGAAAAATTGTCGTGGAGAGGGTCGAAATACCCAATGCCAAATCTCAATTTGTCACGAATTCTGAATTTCTTAATATCGATATTAAATTTATTTTTTAAAACATATAACAGATCATGCAAGTGTTATATTTAAACCTAATTGATATATATTAACATCAATTTTTTTGAGTTTAAAACTCAATAAATGCGACTATAAATAGAACACGCCTAAATTTGATAATATTTAATGATGATACTAACAAAGACAAAAATTGATTTTAGATCTATTTTTAAAATCTCAAAAATAAATGGTTGCACTTTAAATTGAAAATTATATCCTACACTTTCTCAGAGATAAGGAATCATATATTTTAATGAATTTATTTTAAAAATAACGAACGTACAGTATTTTAGTTGATCCAGAATGTGGTACATTATATTTTATGTTATACGAATTTTCGTAAGCGAATATTTTTTTCTCCAAGAAATATTCTACGGCTTTACATCAAAAATTAAAAATTCTACATTTGATTAACTAAAAAAGTGACATGTACATGTATCAAGTCATCATCACCTCATTATAAGATGTATGCATGCAGGTGATTGATTTATTTAACGATTCTCGAAATTGATGAGTTAGGAACCAGACTTGCAACAATCAATAAGTATTTATCGCAGTTTGGCTTGAATGCGTAAAATTGTATAAAGGAACGAGAAATTTAGATAACAAAAAAGACAGAAAGTTGATGTTAAAGACAAATCAAATCTAGGGCAGAAAACATATACATGTATCTGCAATAACTTTCCATTTAGACAATTTTCTAAATAAAATTAACAAAAACCGACAATGAGACCTGAACAAACCTACGAGATCTATACAGAATCCGAATATGGTGAATCTGACAATGACTACATAGAAGGTGATTCTCTCTTTGACAGTTGCAGCGAAGTAGACAACAACAATTACGATTCGGGAACTGAACAAGAAGCTTACGAAGAAGAAACATACCAAGAATTCTGCAGCGACTTTGATAGAGAAAACGTGTCGTCCGAATTTTTCCAAACTTTACGAGAACGAGTTAGTCCGATTCTCGAATTGAAAAACCAATTACGAATTTTAAGCTATAAGATTGAAAATGATGAACGTTATACTACGAGTCAACTTTTAGAACAAGAGCTGAAGATGCATCGCAGTTTTGAACTCGCGTTTCCCGGTGATATTGATGATCATCCGGATAAGGAGTGGAGAGTATTTCGTAATTATTTAGATGATGCGAGATTGGCTGTTGAGGATTTGTGTTCATTGCTCAATGATGGTCAATTGTGTTTACATTCGCACTGGCCTCATTATACTCCTTCCGAACGGGAAGACGAAAGTAGTGCGGATGGAGAATAATGAGGAATATTACATTGGTTTAACATTATTATCTCTTTGATTTAGTTACCGAGTTTTTTTCGCTTAATTAATATCGATATAGACTTTATAGTATCACAATTTTTGATTCTTTTTCACCAACATTATTACAGCAACAGATGTTAGTTTTAATTCTACCGAATATAATATTATTCATAAAAGATTGATTGTATTGTGATAACAGTCATAAGCAATTTAAATGACGCTTAAATTTATATCACTTCTTTATCGCTTTACATATATTCAGAAAAAAATTCCCCTGGTCGAATGCCAACCTTCAACATAATAATTCGCGTCGTATTAATAATGATCATTTTTTACAATGGATTTAAATGTTGTTCTCGAATGGCAAACGTGTATTGACACGATAATTTTCATTTCGTAAGAATTTTCCATATAACTTCATAGCACACGCTAGATTTGCGTTTGTTCGATTGATTGCTTTCTGCTGGCGAAATCAAGTATTATGGAATCGAGATGCTCACCAAAGATGATAATGCATTAGTTTCTAGAGTGGCAGTATTTAAATGCATTCACGTGTACCAAATCGTTCTAAATTTACTTAACCTTGATTCTTCTGTCTGGAATTTTTCGAATGGACTGTTTTGAAGGTATAAGAAAATTATATTATTTCTGATACAAAAATAAGTATTCAATAACGTAAATATTTATTCTCATATTCATCCCTTTATCATATCAAACTTTTGCTCTAAAAACTGGAGATAAAAATATGTTTAGCATTTTGTTCTTAATTTCCAATTAAAATGAACTTATTATATTACATCGTTATAAAGAAAAACTTGTAATTTTATCCAACTTAGAAGTCGCTCTGTTAAAATAGACATACGATTAACTGGTCATTATGAAACAGTGGTCGAAAATTTTATAAAACATAGTAAATCATTATCTTTAGCCCTCCCGGTTAATAGGAAATTTGAACTTTCTAAGAATTTTTCAGGATCTCGATTTGGATTTGTAGAAAATTCGGAATAAAATATACCAGTCCTGGATAAAATCGATAATCTTTATATATGGACATATTTTAGCAATGATTAGAATCATTTGAAAAAATGTTTAATTACGCTACGTTATTATTATGTAGAATTAATTGTTAAATTTGCATTGTTCCATTCTTTAAAATAAACACTCTTTCATACAATTATGAAGTTCAAAAAAATTTTTATAAATAAATTAATAATACCGAAAGGTTAAGTAAGATCCGAGTCATATGTGCTGCTAGCTAAATAAGTAATTTGATATTTTAATATATATAAAAAAACAATTGTTAATTTTACCGTTTAATGTTTTCAGCGACATTTCTTTAAACTCAGAAAGTAGAAACTTTGTGAAGAAAATACAATCGAGTTTGTTGAAAAAACTACACTCGAAAAATTTTACATAATCACTCCATCTTCATGTTTTTTGAAATCACTTCAAATTGACTTATGCAGTCCTTTCCCGTTTCAATATCAGTCATATAAAATAAATGCTAAACGTCTTCTTGCAGGGTTATGCCCAAGTTCAGCAACCGATTTAAGGATTGGTCAGTCGATTAGCAGCAGTAGGTAGTAAAGGGTAAGCAAGTTTATATTTGCACAAAAAATTTCCGGTTCGCGCAAATTCTCGTATAACTCGTACGCGGCCGCTGGACTCCTTTACCGATTTCTGTACATTGCGCAATAAGATATTGACTATAGACGTTAGATGGATCAACTTGATAGGCTTTTTCGTACTGGAGAAACACGAATCTTGACGTTTTTTGATAATGCTTAGCCATTGGTAATGCCAACCCAAAAAAATCATTTGCGGTAATTGCGTTATCATTTAAATATTGCAAACTTTTTTAAGGAATATTTCACCAGATCTTATTATCGAAAGAAGCCTATCTCGAATGTGATAGTTCGAATGGTCCTTCCTTAATTCACTAAAACAAGGTTTCTGATGGGTCGAGAGACCAGACAAACCTCCCAAATTAATAGGTAGTGTTTATCATGAGTATAGTTAACGACCACAATCCAATAGATCTTTACGTATGTTGAAAAAATCATGGGAATCGTTAAATGTCACTACAAAAGGAAGATGTCGTCAAGCTTAGTCTTTCCGCCTATAATGTCAATATCCGCGAAGCGACACATGAAAGATATAACGTTAAGATAATTGGGAAAGACTTATTTATCAAAATAAGTTTCATTTAGCTTACACATCACAGTATATTATTTATTTCACCGATATCATATAGTATTATGTGAAACTTAAGGAAAGAATCAATCGCAAACTTGCAAATTCAGCTGAGCTGTATAATCCAAATTGGGATGTGAATGTTAATGTAATATGTGTGGTGGGAGGTAATGATTTTCGACCTGACGTTGGCATTTGGTTTCGGACCCTAACGTTTGCACAAATTTCAAGATCCATTGTCAACTTGTGCCCACCTCCAAGAGTATGGATAGAAGTAATTGTATTAAATTTTTTTTGAAAAAAAGCACAATTTTGTTCATCGAGTTCAGGTTTTCTATAACAAAAATCCTGATCATGATCATGCTTTGTCTAAAATTGATGTAACTTGACCGACATTGAATATGTCGGAATTGCTATCCCTTGTGCAGTCAGTTCTTTTCACCAGAACCAAAATCCCGGGTTAATTACGACACCTGCAACTCCAACTCCTGCAATACCTACCAGAACTCCATATATTGTCCAACTGTGGAATGTGAATAGCATTCCAGTTTATTATATAATGAATTGGAATGAACACCTCGTTCTTAATTGTGGTTGGATAATTGAATTCAACGTTGTACTTGATGTAATCTCTCGCTCTTAGAGGTGGTCGGAGACTTGAAATTCAATATTGCACTTAATCAATTTTCTTGACAGCTTGTTATAACGCGATCATTGTTAATACTATAGACACTTTCAAATAAATTGTTTCACATGTTAAAATTAATTATTGGGAAAAACAACTTTTTTTGGGGAATTAACTACTGTATATCTCTGAAAATAAGCAACCAAAAAATCTGGGGTTTTGGTGAGCCAAGAAGTGAGGGCTGCTTATATTCGAGTATAAAGTGATTTGTGTATTTACAACATATAAATATTCCTATTTCTAAAGGTTGCTTATATTCGGTACCTATCATTTCATACATTTCATGTTCAAAATAGTGGGAGTTGCTTATTTTCGGAGATATACTGTACGGTACCCATTATTTTTTTGACAAAGTAATCGACAACTTTTTACCATCAAAACATTTTATCAAAGTGTAATTATACTAATTTCCTATCGTTATCTATAGCTTTTATTATCGTTATCTATTATTGCATGTAATTATAAAATAGCAACTTTTTTTATCAATTGCAATAATAATGGTTTTAAAAATGACCACGCTTAAAGTTTCGCCAGCGTTTTCGCAACAGCTGCGTCCAAGTCCCATTATTTTTATTCACGCAAATGGATTCCATAAAGAAGTTTGGGAACCAGTGTTAAATAAGCTAGCGCAAGAATATCATTTTAATTCCTGGGATATAAAGATGTGGGTGATGGGTTGTTATAATTCTGGTGATAGTGCTGTTTTAAATGAAGCGTATTTACCGGATTCGTGGGTGCATTTAATTTATTACGATAGTTTGATTTCTCGATAAACTATGTTTTAAATTTTTTTAATAATGATCAGTTGAATTGAAAGATCATGCCCTTGACATGTATTATTATTTTTTTTTAACTTCGATTAATATCAAATGTTTTTAATATTTTAAAATTTATATTTAATAGCATTACTGATCAAAAGATTCATCGAACAGCAATTCGAAGATTCAACAGTAAATCTGGTAAAAAATGTGAAAAAGGTGGATAAATTATGACGGATGATATAGTTCAGTCGGCAAAAGACACCGAAAATTTATCCAAATTATAGATTTTTATTAATAAATGCGAAAGAATTTTATTATAAATGGGTCTGGCGTTCAAATTTACTATACCGAGTTTAATTACTATTCATTACATAGCGATAACGATAGTGAGTTCAGATTGATTACAAGCAGTGTTGTCACTGGACAATGTCCAATTAAATTAAACTGAACTGGACAAGACTATGTCCAATAATGGTCGAGGTCCAATGAAGTATTTTGATATGATTCTGATCACTAGGTACATGTATCAAGTTATCATCATATTCAAAAATTATCATATTTAATAAATTAATAAATTAATATATGATAATTTTTAAATGTAAAGCTATACTAAATTTAGAAAATTATAAACTACGAATATTCCTGTGACGACACAATATTCGCGCGTTTGTGCATGGAGATAGTGTAATAAAACAGAGAAACCGAATTGCAACTCCCTACTTTATTGCTCCCGAAAGTCTTGCGAATTAGTTTCAAAAAGCAAAAAATTGGGGATTTAAAAAGTAAAAATTAGTGACTTATTGCGAATGATTATAGTGTATAATAAGGATTTATTGTGGTGATATCACTACAAAAAATTCGTTGCTTTTAAGGAACATTATAAAATATGCTTGCTACACGTCAACCTCTCTATAACGACACCATAAATTTCGCTGTCATTATGGGGAATCATTAATAATGTCGTTATAGAGAGGTGAATCAATATGAATCATCTTGGCCACTTTTGGTTTTTAATATAAAAAATAAAATTAGCAAAATGTCGTTATAGAGAGGTTGACTTGTATTATAAACTATGAATAAACAATTAGTACCAGCTATTACTAAATTGTATATCAATATAGCAAGTTTATAGAATGCATATATAAATTTAATGATCTTTCTAAAAAATTAAAAATAATAATTATTGGATAAAATTGCAGAAGGTAGTTTTGGTGAAGTTTATAAACCAGAATGAACTAAGGGGCCAATTTGAAAATAAATAATGGCGATAAATGAAAATAAAGATTATAATAATGAAATCATAAAGATTACAAAACAGTAATGGTAAGCTTTATTTATCATATATATTAAAGGATTAAGAGATGTTAAAATCTAATTAAAAAATGAAATGCTTTATTTTACATTTCAATAAATTTGTAAAAATAACAAGCATGTACTATTATTGTGATCTTCCAGGATAATGGCATTTTCTTGATATTTTTCAACATCTGAAACAAAATTTAATGTATGGGATCAATGTATTTTTTTTATAGCTTTACCCAATTCTTTATTGCCAACCGATTTTTAGTTTTCCAAATAGCGGGTGCTATACTGATTAATTCATCAAAGTGAAGCATCATCATCCTTAAAACAATCTTTAATTTCTTCAGTAAATTCTTCAAGATTAATGGTTAAATTATTATTTATCAGAGGCTGTCATTTGATCTTGGATCAAAAAAAGAGGTTACAAATTCTTTTAATAGATTAAAAAATTCTGGTGAAACTTCTCCTTTTGTATGAATCAGATGCCTGCAAATGTTAATCGACTTGTTAAATAATGTGAACAGCCACAAATTGTTAAATTGAATTTCGAGTAATTTTAGAAAATCCATAACAGAGACTCATACATTTCCATCTTCATCAATTCATTCTAGATTTCAGGATGGAAATACTGATGAAAACAATGTTCAGGGTAATTTCTTTATTTGTTAAAAAAATAGCATTGTGTAGACTATGAACGCCCTCACACCGTCATTATTTACGTGGGAACTTTATTAAAAATAACACTCGTGATTACCAAATCTACAAGATTTTAAACGTGCTCTGACATTGCGAATACGCAATCTGTTATTCAACAATAAGTAAATGGATAAATGACTTATCAAAAGAACAATTGGTTGTTTTCTGGACACATATTTCTATCGATTACTATTAAAGTGGTGCAGTAATGAACGAGCCTTTTACAGTCAGATGTAAAGAGGAGTTTCTTCGTTGAATTTTTGAGTGCATGTAAGATGACGCGTTACGCAATCATAAGTATGATATAATACATATCGATTGATATTATTAATCAGCCAATGTTGTTATTGGATTTTTATTCCAATGGCTATAATGGAAATGATCAATAAGATCAGCCCCCGCGATTTCTATTCTTAACATTCTTAACGTTAAACCACCATTGTTCATCAAATATACCTAATATAGATCGGTGAAAATAAATAAATTTAGCAAACCTAAAATTGATCGATTTTTATACTATGCCGCATCGCGAACAAAAGAGAAACTAATTTCTCTGTAATGAGATACCAGCGAATTTTTTTCAATATAAAGAGAACCAGCTCAACTCGAAAAAAAAACTTCATCAGCTCTCAGTAATAATAAAAAGCAATCTCTACAAGAGAATAATAAAATTCCCAAAAATTTCTCATTTCGAAAAGTACATTCAAAACATAAATTTTATTCTATCAAATTTTTCACAAAAATGCTACCAAGCTCTGCTATTACTTATATTGTCCTCTTGACTTTGGCTTTAACTTCTGTCCAAGGAAGGCCTTTTAACGGTAATAATAACGGCAATAATAACGGTAACGGAAATATAGGCGATGGTAACGGAAACAACAATGGTAACAATAATCTTGGTTCGTTCAATGGTAACAACAATGGAAATGACAATTT